GCTACTGTGTGTGATAGGAGTCATGAATTTAAATTTCTGTAAAAATATTGTTTACTACACGATATTTGTTATTTTTATAATTATGTACATAATGTATGCGTCACTGAGAATTGTATTATACTTTTAATTCGAGTCGTAAAATAATCGCTTAACGAAATAATTATAGTGCTTTTGGAAAACAACTCACTTTACAAATCAGTACTTTAAATAATAACAGTTACAAAAATTCGCAGTATTTATTAATTCGTTGTAGTACTTAATCACTAGTTTTCATTATTAAATTTGTCTTGAAGTAGTATTTTCAATAAATTCTTCGAGCACTCGACAAATTAAAGAAAAAAAAATAAAAAAACGCTCGCATGATGTGACCACATTTAGTGTGCCGGTCTCCAGCCCGGAAAAACTACAGAGAGAACGTGCATTTTTTCATAATAACCTATTACAGGTATTACCACAAACAAAGCTGTAATGACACTCTTTTTTGATAATTACTTCTTCATAAAAAGTAATTGAAAAAAATGTTTTTGGTCACTGGTAAAACAAAATACGTAAGTAATCATAAAATGAAGTGTGAAACATTTGAAGTAGTGGTGTAATAATAAGAAAAAAAAAAATTTGCACAGAGTGAGATTAGAACCCGGAGCCGCAAAACTATAATTCACCCTCCTGCTCTAGCCATCTGATTTTTTTTTTTTTTAAAGAACTTTATTCAGAATTATAATGGTAAAGATTTTTTTGCATTATATGTAATTGTAGTAAATAATCTACGTACAGTTTTGATTGACAATGGCTATGCATTAGTGAGACTACATGGTTAATTATACGCTCGCAGTCGGACGGTTCGGCGAAAAGAAATTTTACTATGCTCTTAGGCTCTATGTATTGAGGATTGTGGAGATATATTGATATTATAAAAATAATATGTTATTTGTGATGTTGCATTTTTGTGCTACGAGTCGTATTCCGCAAAAAAGTTAAATAGAAAAACAAAAAAACGGATGTGCATATTGCGCTTACAAGTATGTAGCTATATGAGCGGAAAATAAGTATATACTACTTTTACAATTATTTTGGTAACATACATTTGGATTTAGTACTTTTATTTATAAAAAACTTTGGTAACATACATTTGGATTTAGTAATTTTATTTGTTTATCCACCAGTATTTTTCCAAATCTAGGTATCTATTTGTTACATCAACGGTTGGGAGTGCTGTTTTATAGACAATTTTAAGAGACGTCTTTTTTATATCAATAAATTCGCCATACAAAATTTTTTTGTTTGCTGCTCTCCTT